TCTGTTCTTGTTGCCTGCCTGTGAGGGTATTTAGTTTTGTTTTGTCTTTCCCACTCATCATGTTCCATTGCCAGCCCGGTGCCTGTTTGCCGTCCCAAAGCACTTCGTTCTCCCTGTCTCTTCATATATATGTAAGCTTATGCCTATGTATATTCAGCGTTTCATCTTTTAGCAGAGTGGTCTCAAGGTGGATGAGCTAATTTTCTTACAAACTGGATGAGGGGAGGCGGGAGCGTGAGATCAGTGGTCACTTTTCAAATTTGTCCTCTTAGCCCCGCACCCTAGAGGGAGCCCCTCCCTCATAGTTGGAGTAATAGGGAATCTAGTTCTTTTGTTTGGGGGTGAAGAGGTGCTTATGAATATATTCAAAGAGCAAATATGAAAGGAAGGTAAAGTCTGAGAATTAAGGCTTTTGGAAGAAAGGCTGTGGTGACCAACCCCATCTTCAGTGGAAGATGCCTCTGAGTCACCTATATTTGTGACTGTGATACAAAGAGAGCATTGTACACATACCATGTAATCACAAATCAGTTCTTCCCACACAACAGCAAACTGTTGCTTCAGACCCCGCAGGAACAGGTTCTAGAGATGAACTGCCTGTTCCTTTGTTCACTTTGTGGAGCAGAATCCAGTGGGTGGATGGTGAATAAGGTCTCTGATGTTTACTTAGTTGTTACACTCCCCGGGCTCGACACCCCCACTTTCCTACTTTACTTATTTAAAGTGATAAAAAAAGAAAAACAGCACTGAAGAAATTGATCACTAAATGTGGTTTCAGGCACCAAGTGTTCTCTACTTTTTTCTTTTTTTTTCCGAGGTTTTCACTGAAGTTTGGGCAGGGTGTCTGGAGGGCTTAAATGGGCCCTTTTTTGGGGACTGGAGTTCTTGGAAGAACTTCAGTGGAGTGAAATGACTAAACTTTCCTACTCCCGAGGAGTTCTGTGGGGGGAGAATCCTCTAGCACTGAATTTACTGGGCACATCAGGAATATAACACAAGAGAGAGGCTTCTGTGGATGAGATGTAGAGTTTGGAGGAGATAACGATTCATTTTCCTTTTCTTTTTTCACCATTCTCATTACATGCATAGAATAGCAGCTTTAAAGGGGTCGATAAAAACAAAGGTTTTTTTTTGACATTCCCAATGTATTTGTTATATGACAATATTCGTTCCTATACTTTTTGAAAGTTTGATCCAGTCTCTGTGCAGGTCTCCTCCCTTCCGTAGACACCCATATCTAAGGGGAAGTAGCCCACCCCTAGCCCTGGGGCAGGTCCTTATCAGTCTAAGCTGAACTGGGTAAGGCATGTGACCTAAGAAATATTTCTTTGCTGGGGGCTGAGGGGTGGCAGGTAGAGGAGAGAGAGAGCAATCCAACAACCTTCCATTGGATGTTGTCCTGTCCGGATGTGTCACTAGAAGCCATGTCATGTATTTTGGGACCGTGAGGTCTTTTAAACTGGATGATAAAAGTTTATACCCTTGGAAGGGCAAGCTGAAAAATGTTTATGTTGTTGTCACTGAATTTATCATGTTGTTTATCCAGATTGTTTATCAACCCTAGAACTAATTCATCCATCTCTCGTTCTGTGAAATAATGTATTTTCCTTGTTAAGCTATTTGGAATTGTTTTCTGTTCCTTGCAGCCTAAAAAAGTTCCAAATTTGTACATTGATGCTGAAAGTTTATTCTTTATAGTAAAGTTTTTTTTTTTCTTTCTTCAAGTAATTATGATGTAGGCAGTTTACAACCCTTGGCGTTACTCTGAGGCAACTCATATATGGGCTGGGAGCCTCAGCTTTTCTAACTGTAAAAGGGGAGAGCAATTCATTAACTTATTTGTTCAACTACAAATTATTAAGCACCTACTATGTTCCAAACACAGTTCTACAAGCGGGGAATATATCATGAACAAGAAAGACAAAAATCTCCACCCTCATAAAATAGATAAAATGAGGAAACCATATGTTAAATAGTCATTGTAAGGAGAAAAAAAAAATTGGGGAAGGAGGATATGAAGTGTCCTGTAGGAGAGTTAGGTCTGAAGTCTTGGATAAGATGGTCAGGGAAGGCTTTACTGAGAAAGTGACTATATTTTGCAGACAAATAAGTAAGTGAAGGAGACAGCCACTGGATCTCTGAGGAAGAGTGTTTCAACACAGGAAAAGACAAGTGCAAAGGCCCTGAGGTGGGAGCATCCATAAAGGTAACAGGGAGCAGTATCAGGTCCAGCCTCGAAGGCCACTCTCAGGACTTTGGTTTTCACTCTGAGTGATAAGGGGAACTACTGGAGGGTTTTGTGCAGAGAAGTGACATGCTTTGACTTCTATTTTAACAGGCTCATTTCTAGCTGCTACATCAAGAGTAAACAGAAGAGAGATAAGAGTAGCTGAGAATCCAATTAGGGGGCTATTCCAATAGTATAGAGAACACGAAGGTGATTTGGCCCAAGGGAGGTAGCAGAAGCCATTGTCAGAAGTGGTCAGATTCTGGTTATAATTTGGAGGTAAAAATGATGGGATTTCAAATAGAGGAATTAAAAGAGAGACCAAGATTTCTGGCCTGATCAGAGGAAGAATTAAATTGCCAATTCTTGAGATATGGAAACAGCTGTAAGGGGAGCAGGTTTTAGGCACAGACGATTAAAAGCTTGGCTTTGGACATTTTGGGATGCCTAGTAGGTCTGCAATGTAGATTTTAGGTAGGCAGTTGGATCTACATGTTTGGAGTTTAAGAGAGTGATCCAGGCTGGAGATAACGACGTATTTGAGAGTCATTAACATAATTTAAAGTCATTGAGATTGGGTGCAATTATCCTGGGAGTGAGTGAATATAGAAAAACTAGAAGCGTTCCAAAATTTAAAAGGCTGTTGAAAAGGGACCAGTTAGAGATTGGGTTGGGAAGAAGCATCTAGAACGGTAGGAAGAAAGTTGGGCAAGTGTATTGTCTGAAGGACAAGAGAAAAATGTTTCAAGATTGAGACAGGAAGCTGTGTCAAATGCTGCTGAGAGAGCAGGTAAAATGAAGACTGAAAATTGGTCCCTGGAATGAATGACACGGTGGTCATCGGTGACTTTGGGAGAAACTGCTTTGTGGATTCTTGAGGGTGGGCTTAAGGGGACAGGAGGAGAGAGGTGGCAGACAGCAAGCGCATGCAGGCCTTTCAAGGAGTCTGGACATGAAGGAAAGAAACGGGGCGTTGGTGGGCATGTCTAGTGTAGAGGAAGTGATTTATGATGACGGGGTGCGGCGGGCAGGTGTGAGGGGGAAGGGTGTCGGCCTCTGCCAGGTGCACAAACTAGTTATCCACAGCAACGGGAGAGAAGGCCAGGTGCGTAGACAGAGATGCAGAGATGGCTTTATTTCTTGCTGTGAAGTCAGAAGCCGGGTCCTCAGGAGAACATTTCAGCTTACTTTTGAGAATTGTTTTATTTGACAGAAAAGCAGAAGTACCGTAAATACTTCGTGCTGCTCTCTCGGGCCAAGGTGGTTTATGGCTGCTTATTGTTCTGGTCACGGACACATGGTTTAGTGTGCTGATATTCAGTATCTTTTTTTTTTTTTTTAATAAATATATATTCTCACTTTCATCTGACAAAGGAGACCATGGAAACTGAAACATTTGTAGAAGTCAGTAGAATTTTATTTAATGAAATCACTCAAAGGTTGTGCTTTCTGTGTTCACCCTTACATTATATATAGTTTTTATTTACAGAGGTTCAAAATTTCAGTTACTTTAGGCTAAGATTCCTTGAATTTCCCTAGAATATACTGATTTACTCCATTTAATTTTCCCTACTTTCGGCTAGATTACTACCTCGCTATTCCTCATTTTGCTGCTGAGACATTTGAATATGAGTACATCCTTAGCAATGATCAGTAAATCTACCTAAACAGGGCAGCTCATATCAAAACAAGAGTTCTATACGCTTCTGAGTAAGGAATAACTAGAACACTGGGAGTATTACTATCAGTGATTAGAACACAGTTAGAGCTGCTTTCATTTAATATTTTCCACCAAATATTATTCTAGGTACTCTGTGCCTATTATCTCTAACCTTCACAATATCCTTATTGTTTTTTTTCTTCTCATTTTATAAACACGAAAACGAAGGTTCAGAGGGAAGAGGCAAATTGCTCAGAGTGTCAAAGACAACGACGACAGAACCGAACAATAAACCCAGGGCTCCGATTGCACTGTGAGTTTCCCATTTATGGTTTGGCCATGGTTCAGCAACTACTAACAAACAACGTCTCCCTTCCTGGCTCTTATATGGAGCCACGGATACAAACACACAGTTCTTGCCTAGAGAGGCATTACTCCAGTAGAGAACACACAAAGATGTATTTCCAAAACAATGTGGTTGGCAGAAGAGGTGAACACAAAGTATTGTCAGTACTGAGAGAGAGAGAGAGAGAGAGAGAGAGTGAGCTTTTAGAGCATGGTCTAGGGAGGTTTGCTGGAGGGGATGATAGTCTAAATTGAATTTCAAGGAATGAGTAAGAATTAGATTGAAGAAGTAGGGGAAGAATATTCTAGAAACATAAACGTGTGGTGCTTTTAATAAACTGAAAGAAGTTGAGTACTTCTGTACACTCAAGTTCAAGTTGAGGGGTAGCGGGAGATGAGGCGCTTGCCTATATATTGGAGATGATAACACAGAAGTATTATATGGTCAGATTTGGGTTAAAAATGGAATCTAGCTAGCAGCCATGAGAAGGATGGAGTGGAAGGCACATTTAGAAATTTTTAGGACTCTTGTTTTAACTGCTTTGTTCTCAGAAAAATTTCCCTAGGAGAGACAGATTTTGTGCACACAGTAACTTGTCATTATCATCACCAAGTACGTTCTTAGAAGGAAGCTCGGTTCAGTAGCTTCATCTTTATGTCAAAGGTAAATTATGGACTAATGGGACCATATAGTGCCATTGGCACTAGCCAGCGTCACACATGCATAAATAAATTCAGTACCTCTTAAAAATAAAAATGGACACATTGTCAGCAGAAATCACAAATTTATTAACTCTTAAATATATCAATCAGTCATTTACCATTATGGCAAGAAATATATACAGTGTCCCACGGTAAACTGCAGTGTTTCAAAATGAGAGAAGATAATTAATAAATGTGTAATTCAATTGTGGTGGAGAGAACAAATCACAATTTCCTCACGTCTTAGTGCGGAAGACAAGCTTGATCTACAGTAATAATACTTCAACACCACATGCTAAAAGTGTAAAAAAAAAAAACAAACACCCTATACCTATTTTGTTAAAAAATACATGTATGCCACGTATAGCTGCTGCACAAAAAGGTAAAAGAAATTAAAAAGGGAAAAATGAGGCCATTATTTTTTCACAGATCTCATTGGCAGGTTAACATGGCCCAATACATTTACTGTATATATTTATTTTATTTTAAATATATATTGTTTTAAATCGTGTAATAATTATCAGAAAAGCTTCAATCCATCTACCATACATCCACTAGCAACAATATCTAAGGTGATTAGTAATCAACACAGAAAGGTGAAATGAGAGAAAAGAGGGAGGGTTGATTTTTGGATTTTTTTGCTTCTGCTTTAAAAATAGGCTTCTGAGGCTTGTGAATTACTATTGTTAAAATAACGCTGATGAAGATACCATGCACTATAAAGCATTTCAGGGAGGAGAAAAAGCCCCACAGGAACTGAGTAAACAAAGGAGAAATGAGAAGCACAGAGAAAACAGGGACAATCCCGCCTGCCCCCCCCCTTTTTCTAAATAGGAAAATGCTAACTCCTCGAAGGAAGATAATGTTACTCTGACACATGAGAGAAGCTACAAAAGCACAAGTCACAGAGACAGAGTTCAAAACAAACACTTAGGAGAATGGAAAACACCCGCAGGCCTCTCTAACTTCAGAAAACTAGCCAGTGATGACACAGGAGGCGCGCATCCTGCAAGGCAGAAGGAAGTGCCTTTGCACAAAATCCTGATCTACGACCAACTTGGTACTCTCCTGGCAACTGCACCAATCAGTAAGACGTGGTGCAGGTACGGTAGGAACCTACTTGCTTTTATTCTAAGTTTAAACAATTCTAATACCTCCAACATAGTTAGGATCCCTACGTCCAAACTCGAGCAGAATTACAAACTTTTGAAATCTTCTTGACATCATTTTTATGGGCCCAGAAGATGATCAAAGCACTAGTTTAGCCACCTCCAAAAGGCCTGTTTTTATTTTACCTTCATTATGCAAATTTCACTTTTCTCACACTACTAGACAAAAAGAGAAAAAAGAATGAAAAACAGAGAAATATAAAGGAAGCAAACAAAAGTAATAAAGAAATAATAGGAGAAAATGAAGAAAAAAGAGCATAGGTTTGAGAAAGGAACAAAAAATTCAGCAAATTTCACCAGAACAGTGCAAGTATACCCTAAAGTGATCAAACTCGTCAATGACGTGAATTTTTCCAGTTTACACAGTTTGACCAAAAAAGACATGACTTTAGGTAGTAGCAAACCCACCGATTCTCGCTTCCACATTCATAAGTGATTCTGCCCACATATCAATCCCTTTAATTGTTAAACAGCAACACAGCTTTCAGTGAAATATCATCCGTTTCAACCAGGATCACACCAGGGAACTGAAGGTAATTTCTTTTGCCTTTTTTTGTTAAACAAAAAAGCTAAAACAGATGAACAGCAAAGAGTTTTTAAAAACTTACATTTCTGTTACAAACTGTCATTCAAAGAACGATAATTTTGAAGTCTGTTAAGTCTTGGCATAAGCAGAGAAACCGGATGAGTAGGTTTGTACTTGGAGTATTGTGGAATTTTGTCTGACCTCCCCCTATTGTTTGCCAACAGTGATTGAAGTTTGCATGGAACATCTCCATAGTTGAAGTGTAAACAATGTATAGGAAGGAATATATGACAAGATGATGCATCACATGTGCATTACACGTAGGACCTTCACAACTTCATGCACTCAGAAACATGCATGAAGAGGAGGAGAGGACGGCCCAGGGTTACCATCCAGGTGAGAACAGAGAATGCAGAAGTGGCACTGTTGATACTTAGCTGAAAGGAGAGAGGGGAGACATAAATTAAACTGTTTTACAAAGTATCATCAAATTGCTTTGCCAAAGATTAGGCTAGGCTACGATTTTATAACTCAGCAGTTAAGTAATAGATCGAAAATGCTACGTATAAGAGATCTTTGCTTGCAGTCATTAAAAGAGAAAATGCACAATGTTAAGTAATTAATATGGATCTTCTACTTTAATTTGTCAATTTGTCCACACAGAGCTAAGCTAAAAATAGACAGGGACTCAGGCTGCAAGCACATGATGAAATCTAAACATACCGTTCAAGCGTTCATGTTTACCAGACAAATTAATAAATGAATAGCATTATTTGGTTGAAAGAGACGAAAAGTTTAAATGCATCCTTTAGCTTCTGTCGTTATTCTTAGACTCTGCTGGAAATCAAACCTAGAAGTCAATTTTACAGCCTCAGAAGTAGGGAAAACACGATTATTCTTATTTAATTGGAGGTCTTCTTTCTTTAGACAAACAGCTGGGAGCACTACCTCTTCCAAGGTCTGACAAGGTTCAGTGCTTTGAATGGGGAAAAAATTCACAAGAGTACCACACGTATCTGAATTATTCTAATCCAAGGTAAGAAGCAAATCTTAGGAAATAACAATGCAGGCATGAATTGAATTACAGTCAACTTCCAATTATCCTCTGGAATTACTCGCTTTGTTTTAAATTTCAGCTTGACTTCCTCCTTGTGGTCAAATACCATTATACTCAGTCAGGCAGAGCCAATTAGCCTACGTATTAACCTTAGCCAAGAGCAGAACAGGAACTGTAACCTCTTGTAAAACAGTAAGACTCCAAAAGATCCTAGAGCCTGATATAAATTAGTTCTGGATAATTGAGAGTTGTCTGAATTGACCCAAAGAGAATTGACTTTTGATGTGAGAACTCCAGGGTATTCCAAACCTGCCACAATCCATGTGCTGAAGGTAGGGTCTCCTCAGCACTTTAGTACCTTGAAAATATGGGTTATGCTACACAATGGTGCCAACCATTAGACTCAAGAGCTCATGCAAATATGGTTTTCACTGAAATAATGTGAGGAAATATCCTCAAAGGGAGGAAAAACAGCCATGCAGCTTTTCAGTCATTAGCTCCAATCACAAAGTATCATGGAGCAGGGTGTTACTTACAAGACCCACATGGGAATGGTTTTCAGGCCTTAGATGTTTTGCCACAAAGAGGTGCTTCCTGAGAAGTTTTCTTTCCCATTTGGAATACAAGATGGCCTATTAAGAGAAGCCCCATTTAAGCCACCTGGCATAAAATGAAGTTTTCTTAAATAGGCTCTATCCCATAAACACTTTAGGGAATTGTAGAAAAGCCTAACCTTCTAGTACTGAATGAATGTAATCCCTTCTGTATTAACTGGAAATTGGTGCTGTACCTCTTTGGGGTAAAAAACACAGAAATGCACAAAAACAGGTGTCTTCATTATCGTTACCTTCCTTTTGTCTTTCTCTTAATTACTTAGCTATTTTTCTTTTTTGGAGTGAATTTCAACCTATTTTTTTTTTTCCTTACCCACTTTTTACAAATCCAACAGTGATACATAATAAGGCTATAGAGAAGGCCATTGAAAACCACTGTGGTGGGACATTATTAAACTAAGACATTTTGATGGAGTCTCTGGAGTGAATTGAATGGCTGTTTGTGTGGCCTTAATTCCCCATCCCATGCCCCCCAGATATTACCAGGTAATCCTGGTGAGAGAATCTGGAATGAGATCTGCAGTTGGCCGAACTTCTACTGATTCTGAACACCCCTTCTTGTTCTCATCTCACCCCACTTTACTGACGCAACCTCAATTCCCATGATTCCCCTTGACTCGAGCTGGAGCCAGCCTTCCTTACTGACAATCCTCTACTACAGGAAGCTAACATCTTATCCTGTGCTTTTCCTCATGATGCTCCTTGAACTTGGACTATCTTCCTTTTTGTTCTTTCTATCCTTCCATTTCTCCAAATTCCACTCCTCACTTAAGACCTTGTTCAAAATTCTTTTATACACAGTATACTTCCAAACTGTTATAAAGTTTGCTACATTAGTCATTCATTCCCTTCTACACTGAAGTTGATTATAAACTTTGTTTTTTTCTTTGGTATTGGTGGTAAGTTGCTTTCTAAACTAGAATATAAGTTCCTTAAGGGCAACATCTTTCACCTTGCATTTTACCTGGCACATTTTACATGCACCTATGTGATGTGCAATAAATATGTCTAATTATTGATTGGAAGAGCAAACATGACATCTGAGGTAGAGTGGTGTAGTGAGAAAGATGCTGAAATACCTAATACTTGCATCTTAAATGCTGTATTTCATAAATTTCTCGTAATTGAGCACCCGTAGAAAAAAAAATCTATGAAATGAAGCTCCTGATATTATACAGTCTCCCCACAGTATCTGGGGGGGGTTGGTTTCAGAACCCCCGAGGATATCAAAATTTGCAGATGCTCAAGTTCCTTATATAAAATGGCACAGTATTTCATATAACCTACACACATCCTCCCATATACTTTAAATAATCTCTAGTTTACTTATAATACCTAACAAACACAATGTAAATGCTATGTAAATAGTTCCCTGCAAGACAAATTTAAGTTGTGCTTTTTGAAACTTACTGGAATTTCTCCACCCCTGAAATTTTTGATCTGAGGCTGGTTGAATCTGTGTGTAAGGAAACCATGGATAAGGAGGGTCAACTGTATTGGTCATTTTAGAAACTTTTTCCTCTAATTTTTCCCCTTCCTCTGCCAATTGTGACAATGAAGTCATAAATAGTTTACCTTATTACATGAATTCTCCCTGATTTAACCATAAGAGAAATCAGCGTAATAGGGTATCCTCTAATTCCTGTCTAAAACTATTGTGTACTTTCTAGGGCAAGTTTCAACCCACAAAAGGCTAGTCTGATTGATCTTTCTGGAGAATTATAGACTGCTTCTCATGAAACATTAATTCCCACCAGTGTAACTCCCACCAGTGTAACTGACCACTAAATGACCGCTAGCATTAAGTAACAGATGCCATGCTATTAACAATGGAATAAGTAAAAGACGGTGACAATGGAATAAGTAAAAGACGGTGACCAGGGGTATATTAACAAAGAAGCTGACAGCCTGGAAATATTTACTTGATGGGTACTGTTCGCGACCCCGAGCGATGAAAATGAACATTCTGCCACTTTCCATCCCGGCGGTGCCACACACGTGTCTCTTCTGACTGCATTGTTTTTGGCATTCCGCTGCCATCCATGTACTGTGTGAGCCTAATGTATGCTATGCAGGCAGCATCATCGCCTACCAGATGTACGTGGGGGTTCAGGATAATAGTGTGGATTGGTTTATTGCTTTTGGACAAAGCTGAAAGAGAACAACATGGAAAAGAGAATTTAGTTTCTATGTAAAGTAAACCAAAACCGGTAATAACTTCAGTTGGGACCAATAAATAGAATGCCATTCATTCATTCAACTATTAGTTCTTTGCATTAACTGAATGCCTGGTACTGTGCAAAGTATAAAGAAAAAGAGAGCAGAAGTAAATACAGTCATTATTTTCTTTGACTCCCTTTGTAGTTAAATCGTATAGCCACTCTGAAAACTTTGAGAAAGCTGGAGCGACATATTTATATTGGGAAGTGGTTAGGAACAAGCCATAATATGAATAGAGATGGAGGAGGGCTGGCCCAGGTACACGGAGCAGTTCCTGTCTTTCCGATGAAGGAACCACTGGGGCAGTTGACAGGGTATCCTGTGGGCTTGTTCGTTTTTTTGGTTGTTGGTGAAGCACATGGGACAAGGGGAACATATCAAGCATGGAGACTGCTGTCTCCTAAACAGGCCGTTTCCCCATCTCATCCTGTGGCTCCTTTATTTAGTAGCGTCCATTCTATGTTAGTCCAGCTGTGGTTATCCAGTAAAAACCCAAAATTTGGTGTTGGCCATATAGCCTGATTCTGATTCTCTCTCTAGCTCTTTTCTTTGGTTGAGCAGCCCTCACGGGGCTCCAGCCTTTGTTGTTTTGACAATAGCTATTTATTCTAGTTATTCAATGACTGAGATATGAAGATTTAGTGCAGATAATTGATGATGCTGCTCTCTTAGATCACTAAAACAGGTAGAACTGTTTTACCTGTTAACCAAACACGTCCTCCATTTTCAGAAAAGATCTGAATAAATTACTTAGTGCTACAGTCATGTAAAAAATAATATCCCATTATGAAGAATATGTATTTATGGAAAGTAATGATGTACAGTGTTATGTTGAGGTAAGTTAAAATATTAATGGGTTAATTATTCTTTTACTACAGGTGAGATGGTGTCAATCGAGAGTCAACTGAAGAAAAACATTATGAGATGCTGTCAATCACAGTGCGGGATGGAACAGAGAGAACATTTACTGAAGCTTTGTTAAGGCCAATTTACCACATAATTATCTTTGCTTGCAAATGTCCAGTGCATATAAGACAAAGCAATTCATTAAATGTAAAAATCCATGCCAAGGCAGACATTTTCAGTGCTTATAATTACTGGACGTGAGCTTGATTATCCTAATCATTACTACAATTCCTCTTTAATTCATCAAAATCTCACTGCAAAAGGTGAATTCCCTCCCTGCATGATACCTAATGTCGTTATGTATGAGGGAAAGGAGCATAAAAGAAACTTCTGGTCTACACTTTTCTTGGTGACCTGAAGGAATTCTGCAGGAGTTTCTTTTGTCACTTTCTCTTTCCTCTGAGACCATTAAAATTCTTGTAATTGGAACTGAAATATTTATCTGATTACTCATCTTCATTTATATTTTACCTTGAAAAGGAGCATTAATTATGCTTGAAAGCCCTCCTCTATGTCAAATATTCTGGCATGCTGTGGTTTTTTTAATCTTTTCATATACAAACAATGTTTTATGAAAACCATTTTCATAAAAATGTTTTATGAAAAATTCAACAATTTTTGGTCACTCATTTCACAGCTTATACATTCACTGGGACTTCTATGGGGTATATTCAATCAACATCACTTTTTTATATAAACAGATACTTTTCAAAACATATCAGAACTCTTTAAGGCTGTCATGTTTTTCAATTTCAAATACAAAAATATAAAAATACGATGCAAAATGCTGGACTAAGGTAAAAACTCTCATTGCAGCAAAGAGTCAAAGAATCTGTAAATTTGGGAGAAATTCAAAGAGAATTTGGAAAAGGCATGATATTAAATTTAGAATAAATGTACCATTCTCAAAGTAGAATCGATGAAAGTCCATCCCTTCCACTAAATTACCCAAAGCTTCAGGTTCAAAAGCAGTAAGGCCTGGGTCACAGATTTTCCTGTAGGAAAAAAAAAAATAAATGAGTTAATGTATTTCGTTGTTTCACAATATCTATTCTTATTTATCAGCCAATGAAGGAGTTTTTTTTAAAATATAAAATTTCTATCGCAGGGCTTGGCAAGGCGGTTTGAGGAGCAGACCCTAAAAAGGAATATTGCAGAGACCTCAGACAGGGGCGAGACAATAAAACCAGCTCCAGCAGGCGGTAATCTATCACACTTTAGGAAGTTTCCTTTTTTAAAATGCCTACTTTTCAATTTCCAAGGTGAACTCTCCAGGCTTTCCCCAGTTTTTCTAATTCCCTAGTTTTTTAGTTGTTATAAGTTTATTATTTTTTAAATGCTCTCCAAGTCCAAGCTACCCTCCAAGTCCTATAAAATCAACTTTGGCTCTGAAATTAAATACTTTCGGAATAATTTTTGACATCATCTACATTCATATCAAACATGTATATATGACTGATTTGAAGGCAGGTGTCACATCCTACACTTTCTGGCAATGTCTGACAGACTTAAGTAACCTTTAATTAACAAGCTTAATTAACTTAAAATAAAATTAATGAGAGATTCAAATGCACATTAGTTTTCTTTTTAATCCTAGAAATGTAATTCAAGAAAAACATATACTATTTTAAATATTCAGAGAAAGCCGATGGGCTTTCTTGGAAAATTTTATTTATTCAATGAAGAATTGTTAAACACCTACTATGTAGCAGATATTCTTTGAAAGAATTATAACACAACAATTAATACTGGAATGGAAATAAATACGAAGTGCTCAGAAACCCGATGACGTATATGTGAGAAAGGAAAGTTGAGCTGGGCTTTCTGGAATGAGTAGGAGTTTTCCAGGTGTGTGGAAGGGGGTAGGCAGAGGAGGGCAGCAAGTACAATGGCAGAGTATGGTTGGGGAATGATGGGTAGTTGCTTGATATGGTGAGCACTGGGTCTGGGTATGTTTATAAGTCCCATGGAGACAGAGGAGAAAATATTTCCTTGGGCCTGTGGTGATCAGCTTAGGCTTCTCACAGAAGGTGCCGTAAAATCTGGATTTGAAGAATTAGTAGTTCACAAAGTTAGATAAAAGGAATACGTACTGAAAGATTTTGGATCATTTATTAATTTGGTGGGGCTACATCTAATTTCGTATGGAAACTGCCCATTTGGGAGGCAAAATGTTTTAACTGTTCAACAGAAATGCAAGTTTCAAAAGGCTCACTCATTATGGTTCTTGAACGTATGGTTCACAGAATTTTGGAACGGATTTTTTTTTTAAGAATACTTTTAAAGTAAAAAAATCACAGTGGTTATTTGTTGTGGTAAAGAAAGCCTTAGTTGCGAGTGGCGATTTTAAACTTTGCCTCAGACTTCCTGGGGGGCAGGTACTAAAGCTCAAAGTTAAATATACATAATCTCTTTCTAAGTAGTAAAATGGGAAAAACAGTGTTCCCATGGTAACAGGACTTTATTCTGCCAGGGGCTATTACTTTATCTATAAATATGACTTTTGGTTGTCAACATTAGTGAATCAAAATTTTCTACTACTTTATATCAGCACCAAAATCACCTGAGAGGGGCTTCCCTGGTGGCGCAGTGGTTGAGAACCTGCCTGCTAATGCAGGGGACACGGGTTCAAGCCCTGGTCTGGGAAGTTCCCACATGCCACGGAGCAACTAGGCCCGTGAGCCACAACTACTGAGCCTGTGCGTCTGGAGCCTGTGCTCCACAACAAGAGAGTCCGCGATAGTGAGAGGCCCGTGCACCGGCGATGAAGAGTGGCCCCCGCTTGCCAAAACTAGAGAAAGCCCTCACACAGAAACGAAGACCCAACACAGCAAAAATAAATAAATTAATTAATAAACTCCTATCCCCAACATCAAAAAAAAAAAAAAAAAAAGTCACCTGAGAATCACTGTACTATGATGGACCTTTTTACCCAGCCATTGAGTCAAAATACTTGAAAACTTGTTCATGCGTTCTTTCTCTCTCTCGTATGTTTCTTCTATGCAAGTAATGTATGTATGTATCTCTCTCTCTCCTATCACAGGCTTTGGATTAATAAAAGATTCACAAAGCTGCCACTTGACCTGTGGGTGTGTATGCTCTGAACAGGTGTTCTAAGGACCAGCTGACAGGGCTGTACCAATACATTCTGCCACGCAAAAAGCTCCCAAATGGAAGGTCCTCTTGGATTACCCCTGGGTCTGAGTGTACAAAATCAAGCCAGATTACAGGCAAAGGAATTCGTAAACTGATGTGATTCCAAGGAATTGCATTATTTAAAATACCCTATTTTAAAGTGTCTGAGAATATAGGAAATGCTATATTTTGCCACTTTTTCCTGGCTAACAACACCAACAAAACACACTCTACCAATCCGCAGGGGAATGTTATTCCAAAAGATTTTTATCCTAAGTATATTATATTTGAAGAATCATATTGGGTCTAACAAAGTTATATCAGCAGAAAGAATAAAAGGGAACAGGTCTTACGGCACAGAATTCTAAACAGCTCTTTAACAACTGTTCAACTGTTTAATTCTCTGACAACAAACAGTGTTCTTTTAAACCCCATTTCTTACTATTTCTTTCATTCTAAGTATACTTTTATTAGGTCCTGTTAAAGAATTGATAAACACAAATACATATATATGTATATACTTGTGTTTGTATGTATTTGCACACACATTAATTTATAAGAAGCAGTCCTGGATTTAATTTAGTTCTTATATTCAGTTACTCTCTTCCATATTTTATATTTGGCTATCTATTTGTAACTGATGATAAAAAGTATCTTATTATACAAAACTTGGAAAGAAGCAGGAAATAAAAAACAAAACACAGTTTCATCTCCCAGAGGCAATTATCTTTTTTCCTTTTAAAAACCAATTTGTCATATTTCATTCTGTTTTTATATTTTCTCTTATGTAGTTGGAATAATTATGTATACACACGTTTATATCCTGCTTTATCTTCAGTGAATACTCATAAGTATTTTGCCAGATCGCTAGAAATTCTGCATAAGTATCCACGGTACCAAACACACCACAGATTAATGTTACCATAATGTTGGACATATAAGCTGTTTATAATTTTTCACTATTTTGAATATTGATTCCATAAATATCTTTGTTCACACTTTTTGTCCCTGTTTTAAATTCAAAATCCATGCCCATGTTAAATTTTTTTTTTTTTTTGCGGTACGCGGGCCTCTCACCGCTGTGGCCTCTCCCGTTGCGGAGCACAGGCTCCGGACGCGCAGGCTCAGCGGCCATGGCTCACAGGCCCAGCCGCTCCGCGGCATGTGGGATCCTCCTGGACCAGGGCACGAACCCGTGTCCCCTGCATCGGCAGGCGGACCCTCAACCACTGCGCCACCAGGAAAGCCCTAAATTTTTATAACTAGGAACATAGGGTTAAAGTAGTGATTTGAACCTTTGGAAACACTTCCTGGTATAGAACTGCGACCCAAACCCCTGCTGTCACCACCACTCTGAAAGTCTGTCCCCATTTATACTCCATCAGGTGGTGGGAAAAGTCACTATTGTCCTGCAGTATCTGTGCCCCTTTGGTGATCAGCGGAGTTTTTATCCATGCTGATTTGATCGGCAGAAAACCCTCCTTCAGATTTGCACACAACTAGTGGACATCAACATGCTTTCATTAGTTTACTTGTCATTCATATTTCCTCTTTTGCTAATCGCTCAGTTCCTTTACCTATTTTTCCACTTTTCAACCTTATCTTCTCAATCTAAATTAACTTTTGACACGTTTTACAAATGTTTTTCTGTTTTTTTGGTCTGTTTTATTTTGGCTTTAAAAAAAATTAAAGTACATTAAGTTTCATCTATTTAGGTAGCCTAATCATTTCACTTTTTCATTTCACTGACTTGCCCTGCTTTTAAACGTAGATCTTTCCAACCAGAGATCAAACTCTTTTCTGCATTTAACACTTCCATTCAAGAGGACCTCACTAGTATGGTATAAGGGGAAAGCTGAGAACTGATTTTTTTCTCCACTCAAATAACTAACTTATTGACCCACGTTCTTTGCACAATAAGCCTTCACCCCCTATTTGAAAGCTTTACTTTTATTTGATCAAAGTGACTTCCTTTAACACCTATGGTAAACTTTAAATTTAACGTTAGAACCCTTTCTTCAAATACAATTTTATCTAAGAGGCAAACCCCTAAAAGAGATGAAGATAAAGTTGAGCTGTGCTGGCTGGAAAGGGAAAAGGCTGCCAGACGCTGCCTCCTACTCTTTCTCTGTCCCATCACCTCTGCAGAACTGCGAGGAAAAACATCTCTTAAGCCAAGTGCACTATTTACGTGCTTTCGTGTTTCTTGTGTGTTTGCTCTCATGGATTGCTCTGCCTGGAATGCCTTCTCTCACGTGGAGGTGCCAGAGGGTCAGGCTTCTGTGCACTGACAAAGAAATCCCCAATCCTCCTATCAGAAGTCTCATCTTCTCTCTCTGAAATCTTAATTACATTTATTTCTCTCCTAGAGGCACCTGAGTCATGTATACGCTGGAATGAAGCTATTGTGGGTGTATCAAACCTGGCGTTAAATATACACGAGTCAGGTACATTGAAGAATGCATTCATATAGAAAATACTTTGTCATACGCGTGAAAGCAAAATAAAGGTGCCTCTACTCACGTGTAAGCTTCAAAGTCCCCGTTGTTGATAGCTTCGATGAGTTGTTCAGTAACTTTGATAATCTCTTGCTTTCGTGCTAAAGGCAAAGATAAAGAGTTGGGTGAGAATAAAGGGCAAAAGCCATATAAAATTACTCTAATGGTACTGCTATTTTCTTTAAACAGGGTATTACCAGTTAAGACACATCCCTCTCAGAATCTTGGTGTTATCCTCTCTACAATCTTGCTGCTCAAGCGCACAGATCAACATTAGGCCCCTCTTCTGGGAGCCTGGCAGAAACACAGATTCTCAGGTCCTACTCCAGACCTACAGTTTCAGAATCTGTATTTTACCAGGACCCTCAGGTAAGCATGTTCATGTTGGAGAAGCACTGCTGCCCTCCCTTTGTTAGAAAACGACAGTCACCCAGAAGGTCAAGGCTATATTTTTAAAAAGTAGTTCTTATTACCTTTACCAACATGATTGAGTTTACGAACATTTTTGTGTTATTTTAATCTATCTTCACAGTATAGCTGACATCTTGCATTGAGACATTTAACTTTAATTATTTGCATTTTTTTATTGTCCAGCTCAACTAACCCTACAAAAGAGGATGCTAACGCTGTAATTGCCATCATATTTAGATAAATAGCCTTCCATAAACTGTAAATTGGAAAAAGAAGGTATGAATCAATGCTGTGGATGGAGATGGAAGTCCCCCCATATGGCTGTCAACTCTGACAACAAACATGATTTGTTTCTATTTCTAGCCCATAACCGGTAAAATTATTAATAGTTGGCTTGGCTCAAATCCCACCTACTTCATCTGCCTCAAGTGTTCTTTCCCATTTTGGAAAGCCTACCTTGTATTATTCATTTGGCAATTAAGCATATGCTATATACCATGACAACTTCTTTAAATTATTGTTTTAAATTGTTACTTAACTTGGTTTACTGTGTAATGTCTTCCTAGTTAAATTAAAAGCTCCCTGTGGGCAAAGAACACGTTATTTCTTTGTATCCTCGAAAAAGCTTTATCCAATGTCTTTAATAAAACAGATGCTCAATAAGTTGAATTTGATCAACTGATTTGATAACCTTTTCCTGATTTCAGAACAGTATTCTCTTAAAAAGGAAATAAAGGCATGAAATATTTTTAAAATTAAATTTAATTGAATTTTGTTTAAAGAACATTGTGATACTTTCTTAAATCACTGGAAATAAACTGGGGGTAATCACAAAAAGTTATTTCCATCTATCTTAGATAGGCTGCTATTCATCATAGAAAAAGCTGAAGTCTGGTTTTGGTTCTTATTGATTAAAGTCAACCAGTTTGCATTTTTAATGAATCTGATCTTTTTTTAGCAGATTCTTAACCACAAACTTAAAAAGTTTATATTCACTTTCAAAACTCCAGGTTATTCCCCTCATTACTGAACTGCAGGACACTGAGCCCCCTTGGGCTTTGGCGACCCCATCTGGGCAGTGTTTATTTGTTGGTTGATTTTGCTGTGCCGGGTACTTCCTTTCCCATTTGCTATCATTTTGTAACACACATGCTGACCCTTTTCCCTTCCCCTTCTTTTCCTTGGGAAAATACAATGAATAAAGACTTATCGGTACAAAAACAAAAAACAAAAAACAAAAAACTCCAGGTTATCCAGGTTGTGATATTCCTTATTTAAAACAAATGTCCTGGTGCTTGGTGATCCCTAGATAGGAGGGATAGGTGATCACCTAGATAGGAGGGATAGGGAGGGCGGAAGGGACACGCAAGAGGGAGGAGCTGATTCACTTTGTTACAAAGCAGAAACTAACACACCATTGTAAAGCAATTATACTCCAATAAAGATGTAAAAAAACAAAAAACAAATGTTCTGTAAACCTAACTTGACTTTACTGAGATTATATGAGACTACCTTATAAAATATGGTTTGTCCACAAATGGTTGCTAACAATGTCAAGGTTGATAATATCAAAAAATAATCTCCATATAGGTTAGATTCCATATTCAGTTATTTACATAATTTCATTTATATTGAAAAAAAAATAACATAAGGTTTCTTAGCTCCTATACACACCTAAAACATTTCTTGCCCATGATCATTTGATGAATGAATAGCTATAATATATCAAACATCAAAGTATACTGACAGAAGTAGTGGCAGGGAATAATTCTGTAATAGGGATGGTGCCAATGGCACAGTTTAGCTTAATTTAGTTAGGCAATAAGTGATTCATCTGTCTGTAGCGTCAACAGTATGAACATTTGGCAAAAACGCATGACAGCTGACCCAATTCTGGAATATAAAGGACACTGGTGCAGAGGAGCTCAGAAAATGAGATTAGAAAAATGTGACTACCAAAACTTCCTCCTCGTATTAAATCCTCATTTAAAACTAATAGATCTCTTAGGATGCTATGTGGCTAATAGGAAAAAAAAACTACAGTTTAGAAAACAATGTTAATTTTTTAGAATAAAAGAAGGAAAAAATGAACATAAGATCACTGCCCTTTGAAGAGCTTCATTAGGCTAAGAGTTAGTTTACAAAGTGCGAACAGTTCTGGGTCACCTTCTGAAGTTCCTGGAAGTCTCTAGATTCCTTCAGAAGCATAATATGCAACTAGAAACATCGGTGTACATGGCCATGTCTCACTCTGAACCACTATGGAAACACTCATTAGCTCTTCAACAGTCTGCATCCTACAACTGGCTTAATTTTTGTCCTGCATAATCAAAGCAACACAAGTTGCCTTCTTAGTTCTTATTTTCAGAAACAGTGGTGCTGTAGCTGGCAGGACAGCACATGGGAAGTAGCCAGAATGCTTCTGTGCTGCATCATCATAAAAGCAACGTGCCTCTCTTGGCTCAGGAGGGGCCTGGAACTCAGTTATCTTTAGAGTGCTTATTTCCCTGGAGCAAAGGCGCTTGAGTGAGTCAGGGCAGCACATGACAGCTGACTCTTTAAAGGAAAGCAGAAGGCTGGGAATGAATCATTTGTATATAGAAGTCTGTTGTGGTTGGAACTGTTGCCACAGTGACCTAGAGGAAGAAGGAGGGTTTGATGCTAGCTATATCTCCTCTCGCCAGCAGTGAGGCTGAGGAACAATCACTGCGCAAGGTGCCCGGATGTCTATGGTCTGGGGGGAGGGGTCACTATCCTCTGGCCTTCCCTCTTCCTGAATGTCAAGTAATGGCCACTCCGGAAGTCAAAGTGGGGAGAGCTTGAGAGGTGTCACTAATTACCCTGAAGGTGAGGGAAGAGTGTACCAGTAAGGTGTTCCCTGAGTACCAGAAGCTTCTAACCTCATGGCTAGACACTTAATCACAGGGAACTGATTACCAAATAGTTTTATTTATAGAATTGCGGTGCTCAAGCCTATACCCACAGGTCCCAAAGTAGTTTCTGGGGATTTCCAGGTTCCTAGGGGAAAGGCAGGAGAGAAAAGCAAGCGGCAGAAATGCTCCAGATCCTGAGTGCGATTACTTTCCATGCAATTCTGCAAAAGAACTGAGAACACTGCCATGTTCAAATTCATATTTTTTGTCTCTTTATTGTTCTAAAGAAGCCTGGAAGAGAAAGATAAGAGTGTGAATGGGCCCAGTGTTTAAAAAAACAAACAAACTCAAAAACCAAAAAAAAAAAAAAAAAAAACCCTGGGAACCGAGAGTGATTATGTAATAAAACAACGGATAGATTTCAACATTTCTCAAGCATTATCAGATCTGAGCATCAGGACAATTCTCTGAGATATGCAGACCGATGTTACCTCTCTGGTTAACAGAGAAGTACAGAGTACAGGCACTGCCCAAAGGCACAGAGTTTGCTGGTGAATCCTTTCTGCCATCTTGAAATACTCCCCTTTTTTCTCTTTTCTCATCATCTCACTCTCGTTTGCAATGTGGACTTGAAACGTTTCAATTCCTTTTAAAGGCTCGGTCTGAGGCCCTCTTACCATATACTGTTATCCCTATAGTTCTATCTACACCAGTGTTTTAAATTGCTGTCTGTATCCCATGACTCCCAAATTGTTACCTTGTTTCTAGACTTTTCCTCCAGGTCTGTATGTCTGTGCCTATTTTGGAATCTCCGTTTGGATATCTTTAATGCGTCTGGAACCCAACATACCCTAAACTGAGCATATGAACTTCTGTTGCCACAAACCTATTTGCTCTTCCAGGGACCTCCATCCTGGTGAACGGCATCATCCACCCAGGTGCACGAGCCAGAAAGAAGCCTGAGGATCATTTTTGACTTTCTCACACCCCCACTCCAAATCCAATCCTTCAAGTCCTATTGATTTTGTCTTTTCAAGGCCTTACACATTAGTCCTCTTCTTTTCTTCTTGCCATCACTCCGGTACAAGCACCCATCATTTCTTGTCCAGAAAAATTATCTGAAGAGGGACTATGAAACCTCGTATAATCTAAACCCTGTCCATCTCACCAGCCCCACTCAAAGGCTGCCTTACTTTATCCTCTACACCCCACCCATGGCGCCTTCTCTCAGCAATTCAAAATGACCATGCTTCCTCCTATTGCCAGCTCTTCATGTGAGCTGCCCTCTCTTCTTGGGAAAGTGTCCCCCATTATTGCCTTCATTTCTTTTATCAGCTTTCAACTCACCTATTATTTCTTCAAAAAATCCTACTTGGAGTCTCATTTTAGGAGAGGTCCCCGTGTTATAAGTTCACACATATCCTACACCTGCTGTTTAAAAGCACTTGGTACACTGGTACTTACGTACTTCTTTGTGTGTATTTGATCAGTTTTCTCTATTATTATGTTGTAAACTCCAGAGGGGTAGGTACCTCACCATTACAACCCGCATCTAGCATAGTACATGGCATAGAGTAAATGTTCAGTACGTATTTGAATGAGCAACTCAAGTGCTTTCTTATCCAATCATCCATGAGTCATCTAATTTATCCTTAGCAATTACCGTGTTGTTTCCCAGGGTATGTCTTCAGCCTCTTCCTCATTTCTTTTGCTTTTTTCTTGGTAATCTCATTTATTCCTCTGGCTTTGACCATCTACTGAAGACTGCCAAATTTCTATCACGGACCTTAAATCTTTCTGGGCTCCAAGTTCATTTT